GACCCAACTGGTCTATCACCACCCTGGGCTCCGCTCTCCCTTCCTGCATCCAGACCCAGCAGGGACAGGCTAGGAGGGCGGGGTCCCCCATTATCCCACCCCCACCCCACCCCACCTTGGGCAGCAATCCAGCTGACCATTCTGCATTCAGCGCCCCTAGAACACATGTAGGACCTCCCACAGACACACAGATGGACTCATACAAGAACATACAAACACTCGCACACACGTCTCCTCTGCCCACTCCTTCCATCTCCAGCCCCTAGACTATAGCAGCCCTCGGGTTCCAGGGGTCTGGGGGTGCGCTGACGGACTGGCAACCACAGACATGGGGGCCTGGGGCGCATCAAGGGTCCGAGAATTGTGGGGAAGGGTCCACCAAGCCTCACTCACATCGGTCTAACACTGGCCTCCACTCCTGTGTAGGGGTGGAGGTCAACTCAGGGGTCTCAGCATTTTCTCAGGGGACACAGAAGCAGCCCCTGGGCAGAAAGGGAATTTTCTGAAATTAAGTGAATCAGAAATTTCTGGCTGACTGCAGGGATAAATAGGACGTGTGCTAGGCTCGCCCAAAGGTGCAGAGTCTCGGGCACCGTGGGTCCAGCAACCGACTCTTGACTTCTGCTGAGGTCGTGAGTGGATGCGCGTGGGGCTCCCGGCTCAGCGCGGGAATCTGCTTGAGAGTCTCTCTCCCTCTGCCTCTTGCTCCCCTTGCGCGCGCCCGCGCTCTCAAATAAATAAATCTTAAAGAAGAAAAAAAAAAAAAGGCGCAGAGGCTGGAGGTGTGGAACCTCAAGCCAGCTGCGGGGAATCGAGAGGGGCCAGGCCAGAGGGGCTGGCAGGTGGCCAGTGGGACTCACTCTCCCCTTGGCAGGGCCCAGGATGGAGGCGCGGAAGGAGGCCAGGCGCAGGGGCCCGCGGGAGCGAGCGGGAAAGGGGTCCCGTGAGGAGCGAGCCACGGGGCCGCCCGCGGCGGAGCCCCCCAAGCCGGGTTGGGCCCTGTCGCTGGAAGGGCTGGCGGCCATGCGCCCCCCGCAGCGTCGTCGTCACATGCTCTTCGGGGACCTGCTGGAGGACGTGGGCGCGGCCGCCTCCATCTTCCCCCGCGAGTCAGTGGAGCTGCGGTACCGCATGCCCGACCTGCGCGCCTGGACGCAGTCCCTCGAGCTGCCCGCGGTGCGCCAGGACCTGCTCCTCGGCGTCCTCAAGGCAGCCGAGGCCCGAGGACGGATCCGGGCCCTGCGGCTGCGCTACATCCGCATGCGAGTGAGGCCCGGGGCCCAGAAGGAAGGGGCGCGCGGGCCGGAAGGTTGGGGTGCGGGCGGGGCGGGGAGACCGGGCCTCGTCCGCGGAGGAAAGTTGTTGGGGGGTGGGGTGGGGAGCAAACGGCGGGAGGGGCCGGGCCGGGCGCCCCGCAGGAGGGGCGGGCGGAGCAAAGCAAAGCGAGGCGTAGACTCAGAGACACCCCTGACCCCCGCCCCGACCTGCAGGCGGAGGAGATCGCCCTCCTCGTCCTGCAGCAGAAGTCCGCGCGCGCCGCCATCCGGCTGGAGCTGTTCCTGCCGCCGCGGCTGAAGCCGACGCGGATCCCCGACCCCCTGGACCGTCAAGAGGTACGCAGAGGCCCAGGAAGGGGAAGGGGGGGTTCCCCGCTCTCCTCTCCGCACACCTGGCCCCAGCCCCTTTCACCCGCAGAGGAGGCGCGTGGAGACCATCCTGGAGGAGAAAGTCGATGGCAGCATCTTCCCACGTTGACTGGGACCCCACAGTGTGCCAACGCGCCCCACCTTCCCACATAAAGTTCTCATTGTCCAAGCGTCCCCTGGTCGTTACGCTGCCTCTCTCCAGGTTCCCCGAGAAGGAAGGGGACAGTGTGGATGCAGCCTCCCTGGCATCCGATGTCACAAACATCTGGATACATGGCGCGGACGGGGGAGGAGGGGAGGGGGGGGCCAACAAAGTAGAAGGAGGGACAGGTTCAGATCAACATGGGACGCTGGTAATCTCTCAAATCCCGCGCTGCCCCAGTCAGGCACCCTGGTGCCCTGCGGGTCTTTGACAGCCCCCTGTCTGAGGGAACAGGAGTAAGAATTGGGCCAACCGCTGTCCCAACCCCAGCAGTGAAGGGCGAGCTCAGGGAGAAAGTGAGGCCCAAGTGGGACCCCACATTGTAGGTTATTCCTTCAGGGGTCAGAGAGGAGGGTGACATTCTGGACAGGACGAGGGACTGCACAAGCCTAAGGGGGCATTTGGAGCCAGCTGTGCCCCAGGGGTCCTCCAGGGGGACCATGGTGGGGGAGACTAGGGAAAGGGAGACCAACTCAGAAAGGCCCCTACTTCTCCAGACAGAAAATCACCTTTTCATCCTGAACAACCTCCCCAGCTCTGCCCTGTGCCCCTTATGCACAGACGCACATATACGGGAAGGAAACCACCCATGTCCTGTTCTGACAAACCCTCCTCCTGCGGAGGCTCCAAACACTGAACTTGGTAGACAGATTTTCCTGTAGAGAACTTACTCTTCTCGCTGACGCACAATTTTGGAGCCTAGAACTTGGCCATGTCTCCCCTTTCTTCCCTCCTAGTCCTTAGATGGCCGCAGCAGTGGGGGCTGAAAGGATTGAGACAACCCCCCCGGGTGGGCCAGGGAGGTCTGCTGAGTGGCCCTCAAGAAGCCCTTCTCCGCCTGTACCTGACCCTACACCCTTTCCGTGCTGTCGCTGTCCTTGGCCTCGGTCCGCACCCAGAACCGAGTGTGGAGTCTGTGGCAGGTCTAGGACGAAGGGGAGAGCTGTGCGGGGCAGTCGTGAGGGGAGGGGCATGGTTGAGCAGAGCTGGGGAAGGAGGAACAAGGGCAGAGGAGGGGGCCTGCACTGAAAAGAAGTCACCAGGGAGAGGGAGGCATTCTCTCTGTCATGAATAGGATAACGGCCACTGTCTCTTGGGCATGTACTGACCACCTAGGACCGTTTTATTTGTTTGGTAAATGCAGATCTCATTCCATCACTTCTCTGAGTCTCCATTTCTTTATCTTTAAAATTGAGATCTTGAGGGTCTTACCTGGGCCATGAGTGAGCACAGTGAGGGCTCCACAAGGGTGTGGTCCCTCTGTGTCGGGCGACCACACAGAGCCCTGCGCAGACGACCACCCAGAGGGTGGCCGAGGGCAGCTCTGTACCAGGCACTGAGCTGACACAAGGCAGGCAGGCCCTTTGAGCCCCACACCACGGAGGGAGGCCCTAGGTCTACAGAGGAGGTCAGGGCAGGTGGCTGAGGGCATTTCTGTGGGGCCCAGAAGAGGCTTCTGCTATGGGAGAGCGAAGCCTGCAGGCCAGAGCCCAGCATCCTGGGGACTGTGCCAGGTTGGCTGGATTCCTGGGGCTGTGATCCCGCTCATGCTCTGGAAAGAGGGTCCTGGTGTTGAATGCCACGGCCGCCGCACCTGCTGCACAACCTGCAGCAACTCCCTGCCCAGCCCATCTGGGCTCCCCGCCATGGAACATGGGTATGCTCTGGGCAGAGACAGACTCACCAGAGAAGACGCAGGACCACCAGGATAGCTGGGGTGAGGGGAATGGAGTGCAGGCCCAAGTGGCCAGAGGACACGGGTGAGTGGCCACAGAAGGTGCGGCGTATGGAGGGCTGAGAGGACAGGGGAGTAGGGAACAGCATGAGTGGGCCTCGGAGTGTGCTGAGCTGCCCCCATGGTCAGCTGGCCTCACATTTCTCGGGAGGTGGTGGAGACCACAGCAGGCTCTGGGAGCAGCCTGGCTGTTCGTCAGGGCACAGCTGTGGCCTGGCTCTGTAGGACCCGTCTCTCAGGATGGTGGCCTAGGCTAAACGAGAAGCAGCCGCCCACCGGCTGGACAGACTTCCAGTCTCTGCTCTGGCCTTGCTGTTGGCCTGGCAGCCAGAGAGTCTTGTGGTCATGCCGGCCAAGGCCCCCGGGGCTCACAGCACCAGGAGGCACGTCAGCCTGCACGGCCCCCTCACCTCTCTGACCTTGTCCCACACTCTCCTCCAGCTTGGCCTCCCCTCTCCCAAGGCCTCTGCCTGGCCGTTCTCCAACGCTCTCCTTTGCTGAGTGATGCCTCCCTCCTCGGCTCCGAGGTCCTCCTCAGCCCTCCTGACCCCTAACCCAGTCTGCCAGTCTGTTTCTTGTCTGCCCCAGGGCGGGTTAGTCTCACTCGCTGCTGGGGCCCTCAGTCGGGCGCATGGGGAGCACCCAGATAATTGCTGAATGAATGAGCATATGTAAAATCACTTCCTCGGTCACCTTGAAGAGTTCTGAGAAACACGTGCATATTGACTTGTGCAACTGGAAGGCATTTTGTGAGCCGGCCTCAGGCATCAGGAGCCCATCGGGCGGAGGGCCTGCTAAGGGCCAGGAGATGCTCATGGTGCAAGGCCGGGGGCACAGACCCTCTGCAGATGTTTCCAGGGCAGGTCGCTGCCACGCTGACACTGGCCCAAAGCATGCTGGGATAAGAAAGCTAACTGACAGCTCTAATGGGTCATAAAGTATCAGGAGGGTCAGCCAAAGAGAAGGGACAGGGCATTGTGGCAAAAAAGGGAGGGTGTGGCTTTAAACTTTAAGACATAGCGGGGCAACTGGAGGCTTTGGAAGAGACTCAGCCTGCCCCGCAGACAGGAACATTCGGTGACTCCAGACGTAAGAACCCATACCCTCCGCATCAGACCCCCCTTTCCTGGGGAAACCCCGTCGAGCACGGAGCCAGCATAGGCTTAACCCCACTTTACAGGCGTGAGTCCACAGTCGCAGAGACGCTTAGGGCTGGGCCTGGAGGGACCCCCGAGGCTTAAGGGCTCTTGGGGTCAGGCACTGACCAGAGTCTCGTGAACACCCACAAGAATGGCAAAGCTGGACTGGCCCCCCTGAACGGAGTGGGGGACACGGCCACACATCCCCGTCTATTCCAGTGCCAGCTCAGGCCGTCCTGGGTCCAGAGGCCCCGTTATTAGCCCCTCATCTCCACGGGCTACCCTAGGCGATGGTGGGGATCTGCCGGGTGCTGAGGAGGGGGCCGGTGGGGAATGAGGCCATCTGAGCGCGGGGCGGGGCGCGCCTGGCAGGGCGGGCCGGGCGCCTCCCCGCGCGAGGAAGTCCCGGCCCCGCGCTTTGGGGAAGTGCAGCCGAGGCGCCTGCGCACTGCACCCTGCGCCCCCTCCCCGACGATCCAGCCGGACCTCGGGGCGCGCGGGCCAGCGGCGGCGGCGCGAGCGGCTCGGGAGCGCGGCCGGTGAGTGCGCGCGCGCGCGCGCGTGGCGCCTAGGACGGCGGCCCTGCCCCTCCGGGCCCCGGGCCCAGGGGCCGTACCGGGCGGGAGCCGCGGGAGCTGGCGCCGGGATCCGCACCCTAAGGACTCCAGCCGCGGGGTCCACGTGGACCCTGGGCCGCGGCGGGACTGGAGCCAGTCCCCCGCGCGTGGGGGAGGGGGTGCTGCAACCCGGTTCCCCTTTTTCTGCAGCTCAGAGCCTGGGGAAGTGATTGCTCAAAGGGGGGGCCGGAAGAACCCCCGTTTCCGCGTCTCCCGCCCCCCCCCCAGCCTGGTGGGGAGGGGCCGAGGCGGGACACCCTGTCCGCCCCCACCCCCATCCCCTTGGATCTGGCAGCCACTCACCCTGCAAGGCGCAGGGGAGGCGCTGCGCCCCCGACCCCAGCTGATCGGGGGCTCCCGGCGCCGGCCTCCCTCCAGAACGCCGCAGGAGTACCTCCTGCCGTCCGAGTCGAGTCCCTGCTGCTGCAGTGCACGCCCCTTCGGCAGCCAGGGTGGGGCCCAGAGGGAACCTGGCACATCCCGCCCCCACCTCGCCTTTGGGTCGATGGTGAGTGGGGCGCCGTGGCGAGTTCCTTGAGACAGGGGTGGGGGCGTCAGAGGCTAGAGGAAGGGGCCCCTGAAGAAGGAGACAAGCTCTACAAGGCCAGCCCTTGCCAGCAGCAGGAGGAAGAGAGAAATAGGTTGCCCCCACCACTGCAGAAGGGTTGGGGGCAAGGGTCACCAGGGTTAGAAAGACCTGGCCTGCCTTGGAGGAGTCAGGCTGGGGCTCCCCGCACCAATCAAATGGGGGGCAGCAGACCTCAAGGATACTGAGTACCATCAGAATCAAAGAAAGGAGCCCCTCTGTCAGCCCTCCACCCAAAGGTTATGGCATTTTTTTCTGGGATTGTCACATTTTCTTTTTCTTTTTTTGGACTGGGCGGGCTCAGGGACGTTCTTTTTCCTTCTGCAGAGCAGAGTAGCAGCTGCTCCCAAGGGAACCTCTGTCCCCAGAGGCCAGGCTTGCTGCCTGTCCAGCCTCTCCCATCCCAGACTTGGGGGCCAAAGCCCCCAAGGGGCTGGGAAAGGGGAATGCGTCACCTCCCAAATGCCAGGATGGGGGGCAGAAACCCCAGTTCAGACCCTGTAGCCCCTCAAGAGAGAGTGAGCGGCCAGAGAACCCCAGCCAGCCTGAGGAGGGCGCAGGGAGCCAGGCCAGGCCTGCAAGAGGCACAGAAGACATGGACCCCAAATGCAGCCTCCAGCCCCGGGGGCCCCCCTGGATCTGCACTCCCAGACAGGGCCCCTCCTCTAATTCAGAGCTGAGTCTTGGGGTGCTTGGGGAAGAGGGGACAGGCCCTGCCCCCACTCACAGTGGGTGGGGGGTGCAGAGGAGGAAGAGCAGTTTTCTGCCCAGCTGCCAGACCAGAGGTTGCCACACCCCTTCCTTTCCCTAGAAGCTTGACCCCTGAGGGAAAGGCAAGCTGTCAGCTGCTCCTTCCCCATCTGCTTGCCCAGTGTCTCTGGGACCCAGTTTGAGGGTCCCCTCCCCCAGGATCTCAGGGGAAGTCAGGTAGCTAGCTGGTCAGGGGCCTCAGCCCCAGGGGACCCTACACTTTACCCCTAGCTTTGGGTCAGGGCAGGGCCTCTGCGTGCCCAGGCCCTGGAGGCAGGGGCGCTCCGGTGTACACGCTGTCCCAGCGTCCCTGGTCCAAGACCTGCCCAGCCGTGCTGCCTGTCCTAGAGCTCCTCCTCCCTTCCCTTCTACCCTGGGAGACCCCAAGAAGCCAACATGGCCCAAATGGGGATTGAAAGTCCACAAGCTGAGGGGTGGGGACAGCAGGGAGGATGGTAATGATATGAGAAAATAAAATGAGAGCAAGTCGTGAGCCTCCAGGCACCAAGATGGGGGTGAGGGCAGGACCAGGTGGCTCAGGAAGGTCCTTGTCAGCTGTGCAGGGGAGCCCCTGGGCCCTGTGTGTCCTCACTTAGGCCAAGGTGGGCGCAGGCAGGGGTCATGGTGGGAAAGCATTCAAAACTGCCCCCAGGGCACTGATTGACTCCCTCCCCATGGTGGAGACTTTGGGATCTGTGGTTGGCCTCATGGGGGGATGGAGGTGGGAGGGTCAAGCTCCTCACCCTGTCTTGGGACTCCAGGGCCCAGGGCCCCCTGCATGCCTCCACCCTGAAACATGGGTACAGATACTGAAAAGAATGCTGACCCTCACCTCCTCCAGCAATCCAACATCTCTGACTCAGGGAGCAGGACACCCCAGCCCCTTGCTACCCCCCACGCCCCTCCACCACTGGCACCCCAGGTCGCATTGGTTTCCACAGCCTGGTGGGGGTGGGGGGAAGGGAGGCTGGGAGCCCCTGGGTGTGGTAAGGTACCAGCTGGGGGTTGAGTCCTGGAGGCAGGGCCCAGGACCTAGGGCCCAGGACCTAGAAGACAGAAGCCATGGGCTCATGGCTAGGGGTTCATGGCCCTCCTCCCCCACGCCCTGCTGCATTTCCCACACCCTGGGAAAGTCCTGGCCCACTCCTCTCCATGCTGCAAGCCTAGTGACCTGCAGACAGGCACTCCCCGTGGGGAGCAACCCTCCCCCTGCCCCCACCCACTGCAGAAAACCCAAAATGGAGGGAGCTGGGGAGGGGGTCCAAATGTCTGGCCACCACCCTCATGCATTAACCTCATAGCCCCAGACCTGTGGGGCCCCCAGTCCCCTTGGGAGGGGCCAGGAGCCGGAAACCAAGAAAGAGGAACCCAGACTTCCGGCTTCCCAGGGACAGAGCAAATGGGGGTGTCCCGGAACCTCCTGTGGAGATCTTGTCTGGGGCCCCCTCCTCACCAACCCTGTCCCGGCTCACGGCGCTGGTGTAGGCTGGGGCGGAGGTAGGAGCCTCAACAGAGTTGGGGGGTAGGGGAGCAGGCCCCCAGGGGTCTGGGAAGGAAGGAGAGACTCTCAGGACCCCTTCCAGGGGACAAGTAGAGGCTACAGTCCCAGGTTCTCAGTGAGAACCTCCACCTCTCTTCTCAGACTCCCAGGCTGTGGTGAGGGTCCTGGAGCCAGCACCACGGAGCCCGGGCGACCTCCTCCTCCCACCCATGCCCACCCCACATGAGACTGAGAAGCAGGTGCACCACCTCCACCCCTGCCTCTGCCCCCCTTGTGGGAACGGGGGTGGGGGGAGCAAAGAGTTGGGAGGCTGGGAGGCGGGGATTGCCCACCCAGGGGAGTCGGGGGAAAAGGTATGTGGGCCGCGGCTCTGGCCTGGAGCTGAGGAAGCCTCCATGTCACCAGCACGTAGGGCCGCAGGAGGCAGACCAGCCCCCCTCGATGTCCAGTCATGACGCAGCCCCCCCGGCTGCCCCCAGCCGCAACCCCTGCTGCTTGTGCTGGTGCTGCTGTTGTGGCTGTTCCTGGTACGTGGGGTCTGGGGAGGGGGGCAATCCTGGAACATGGGGACTTGGGGGGGGCAGGGCCGGGGAGGGCGAGCTGTGCAGATGTGGGGCTGTAGGGCCTGCCCCCAAACCCTCAGATGGCCTCTGAGGCATCACCAGAAGGCAGGAGGCCTGTGCCCCCCACAGCTCTTATCCAAGGGCCCCTGGGCCCTGCTGACCAGTGGCCAGTGCCCAGACCCCTCTGTATGTGTGGCTTTCAGGTGTAGAGTGCGTCCGTGTGCAGGCACCTGGCCAGCCCACCAGGTGTGCCACATCTGTCCATTTACTCAGCACATGCAGACACCGCTGCAACACAGCCTCAGCTGGCCCTGGGGTCCCACAGAGGGACAAGACAGAAGCCTGTCCTACATAATGTTAGGTGGAGGGACAGTGAGCAGGGACCTGGCCTGGGGACAATGGGGATGAGCTTCCAGAGCAGCCTGCCAGAGGGCGGGGGTGGGGCCCCCAGGTGGTAAGGGGGTTCTGTAGGCCTGCAGAGAAGCTGTTGGGAGTTTTCAATTGACAGAGGCCTAGCCCTATTCAGGCTTCCAGCCCATGGGGATTGAGTGGACAGCGCTGTGGGGACTCAAAGGGTTTGGTTTTTTTTTTAAGATTTTATTTATTTAATCGAGACAGAGAGAGAGAGAGCATGGGCACAAGTGGGGGGAGGCAGAGGGAGAAGCAGACCCCCCACTGAGCCAGGAGCCTGCTGTGGGGCTTGGGCCCAGGACCCCGGGATCACGACCTGAGCCGAAGGCAGACACTTCACCAACAGAGCCCCCCAGGTGCCCCTCAAAGGGGTATCGGCTGACCAGTGAGCAATTCATGCGCGAGATGGGAGAGGGGTGGCCACGAAAAATCAGGACGCACTAAGACTTTGCCTATGGGACCAAGGGAGAGTTTGGGGTCTAGCAGTTAGGGTAAGAGAAGAACGGAGTCTGTCTGGCTCTTTGGGTTTGCGATGTCTGTTAGACATGCAGGGGCCGTGGAAGGAGGTCTGGCTGGAGGCGCGGCTGTGGCAGCCAGCTCTGATGCCATGTCTTGAAAACATACCAAAAACTTGTATTTTAATGAAAGAAAGACGCTGTTACTTTAGGGACCCTTTAAACACGATGTAGTTTGGGGGCGTCTGGGCGGCTCAGTTGGAGAAGCATCTGCCTCAGGCTCAGGGCACGATCCCGGGGGTCCTGGGTTTGAGCCCCACGTTGGTCTTCCTGCTCAGCGGGGAGTCTGCTTCTCCCTCTCCTTGGGCTCCTCCCCCCTGCTTGTGCTCTCTCTCAAATTAATAAAAATTTTTTTAACTAAGTAAATAAATAAACACAATGTAGTTTCAGGGAGTCTCCCTGCTATGTAAATACATGGGTACTATGTACACACACAACCCCGAGTGAAGACGCGGGTGCTTGAAGGCTCAACCCTTCCCCGGCGGGTGGGACCGGAGCCGACTGCGGAGCGGCCCTCCTGCAGGGGCTTCACGCACAAGCTGGGCGCCCCCGTGCCGTGTGGGTGCGCGCGCGTCTGTGCCGTGGGTGGGTGGGTGCGCGCGCGCGTCTGTGCCGTGCGTGGGGTGGGTGCGCGCGCGCACCCAGCCCAGGTGTACCACGGAGGCCAGAGCCACCTCTCTCTGCGGGCAGGGCTGAAGAGCGGCGGCGAGCGTGGCGGGTCTCCCGGGAGAACAAGCTGCAGCCTCTCCCCGGTTGCGAGGCATGGTAGGTGTGGCCGGCCGCGTGCGTGCGTGTGTCTGGGGGGCGGGGGGTGCAGGCCTGACCTGGCCTGGCGGGGAATGCCCACAGCGCCACGCCGAGCCCCGAGGAGGTGCGGAGCTGGGCGCAGTCGTTCGACAAGCTGATGCACAGCCCCGCGGGCCGGAGCGTGTTCCGGGAGTTTCTGCGCACGGAGTACAGCGAGGAGAACATGCTCTTCTGGCTGGCCTGTGAGGAGCTCAAGGCAGAGGCCAACCAGCACGTGGTGGACGAGAAGGCCAGGCTCATCTATGAGGACTACGTGTCCATTCTGTCCCCCAAAGAGGTGCGCCGCTGTGGGGACCCAGGGCGGGGCTTGGGGGGGTGCGGACACCTCCAGGGCCCCTGACCCCCGCATCCCCTCCCGCAGGTGAGCCTGGACTCGCGCGTGCGGGAAGGCATCAACAAGAAGATGCAGGAGCCGTCCGCACACACATTCGATGACGCCCAGCTGCAGATCTACACGCTCATGCACCGGGACTCCTACCCCCGCTTCCTCAGCTCCCCCACCTATCGTGCCCTGCTGCTCCGGGGGAGCTCCCAGTCCTCCAGCGAGGCCTAGGCTGCTCACCTGCCCGCGGCGGCACAGACTTGGGACCCATCCGGCAGGAAAGGACTCGGTTACCTGCACAAACCTGTGTGAGCAGGTGCCCGGCAGGCCCATGGGGGCCCAGCACCCCTGGGGGCAAGTCCCAGACTGGAGCCCCCTCTCTACACTAGGGACATGGTATCCCGAGGTCCTGCTGCGAGGCCGGTGTGAGGGCCTCTGGGATCTAGCAGCCCCTCCCGAACCGGCTCCCTGTTGGCCGCCCCAGGGCTCCTGCTGGGGCTTCTGCTGGGGGAGAGGGACCCTCCCAGGAGTGCTCACGGACCCAGCGGCTTCATGGGGGGCCTCCTCCCCGGCAGCCGGGGACCTTGAAAAATGCCTCTGATGGGAAGCAGAGCCTCTGTGATGTTTAGTTGTGACATGAGGAGACCCTCTGACTCAAGCTGTCTGCGCCCAGATCAGACCCAGAACCTCAGAACTAGGCTCAAGGCAACAAGAGCCAGTTTCTTTTTTATATTTTCATTAAGTTTAAACCTGGAAACATGTCTTTACTGTATTTTATCAAAAAAAGAAAAAGATGTTTTCATATTTATCTCCATTCCTTCTTCATCCAAAATAGGATCTTACTATTGAAGATATTTTTAAAGCAAACGTTCTCTCCTTTCTTTTCACATTGGGGGAGATTCAAGAATGATGGATTGTCCCAGACCCAGTGCAGGGAGTAGAGGAGACCTGGCCCCGGTGGGCAGCTGCGCTCACCCATGGGCCGGTGAGGGTGCCAAGGCGAGGGCGGTGTTGACAGGGGCAGCCTCCATGAGGCACAAGCGCTTGCCGCCCCATCACCCGAATTTCTGGGAGGCACAGCGACTCAGACCTGCAGCAGGTCCAGGGCACACCCCATCCATTCCATCATCAGGAGCAGAGGGTCAGGGTGAGGACAAGTCCTTGTGAATGGCTGGGGACCCAGATGCAGCCTCCTGCCCATAAGCCCTGGGCCCAGAGCTGTAGTGCCTGGGGAAGTTTGGGAGACCCTGGGTCCTCTACCTAAGGCCCCCTCCACCCGATCCCGTGTGTGTGCACGCCCACACCGTGTACCTCCAGCGGCTGCCCCTTCTCCACGGGCACACCCAGGCAGAGTCTGCCCCCAGTGTTCTGAGGGCCTGAGGGCTCTTCCCTCCATCTCTGTTCCAGCAGAACCAAACCCGAGTGTCAGCTGATCCCAAGGAGAAGGGTTGCCATCCCCTCCCGTGGGCGGGGGAGGGCCAGACAGTGGGGGCAGGAGCCCCAGCTCACAGCCCAAGACTGTGCGTGGTCCGCCAGAACCAAGGGCCAGAGACATCAGAATGGCAAAAAGAAATCTTTAATAATTTGGGGGAAAGAGGAAGAAAGGTGTACCACAGGCAAGGTTGGGGAGCAGGGTGCGCAGCCCTCTGGGGAAGTTTAGGTGGGCACAGGGCAGCTGTCAAGAAGCAGTGTCTGTCGACAGAGGACACGGGGAGGCCGCAGCAATGTGCTGGCCACAGGCTGAGGCTTCACGCACATCTCAAGGAGGGCTCAGCAGAACTGCACCGGATGGATGAGTGCGGTCAGCCATGTGGAGCCCATGACCCCCGCAGGGCGAGCAGCAGGCCTGGGGTCTCCACCTACCTACTCTGAAGCCCCAGGAGGCTGGCGGAGCATGGCTGTCCCCCACCCCCGTCACATGGGTCCCACACCTGGGAGGATGGAGACACCCACCTTCAGAGAAGGCCCACCCACCTACCTTCCAGCGATTTCCACACTCATTGCAGACAACGAAGGTGGTCATGGGCTCATCAGAGCTGCGCGTCTGCACCTGCCAGGAGGGCTATGGTGAGGGGGGCCACCCCCAACCCCAGGGACTCAGTCACTTGGAGCGGGAGGCCCCGAGGTGCAGGTCTTCCCTGGAGTCCCAACGCAGGGAGGCTGCCGTACCCTTGAGCGGTGCTGGCGTGGGAGACCCTCCGCCCCCCGGGCCGACCTGCCGAGGCTGCCGCAGGGACTCCAACCCTTCTCCTTTAGCAGGGACCCAGTCGCATCTGGAGGTCCACATCACGGTCTACCTCCACGGGTCTGACCACTGTCCAGGCAGCACAGCACACACCCCCACTGGCCAGCAACAACATCCCCTGGGGCCTCCCCCATGCTGGGGGAGGCCACGTCCCCCAGTTTTAGTGCCCAGAGCAAACCACCCCCAAAATGCTCCTTGCGGGGGACCAGGGGTGCCAGGCAAAGGAGGAGGTCCCCAAGGTGACTCTGGAGGCCTGCGCCTTTCACTGTGCATGTGTCCAGGGGTCAGCGGACCTCACCCCCCGCCCCAGGGGCAGGCGCAGGCTGCTGGAGCATGAGGTAGGGGCCGGGGCGCACCTGCGTGTAGGTACAATTCTTCCTCCTGCACTTTCCGCAGGTGAACAGGTCCGTCTGAGTGCCCCCCGTGCGGGCCATCTGGTGCTCTCGGATAGCCTCCTTGGTCATCGCCTTCCGGATCTCCTTCAGCTCATCACTGGCCATCTCCTGGACAAGGCACCGCGTACTCACCACAGTGCGCAGGGGGCCCCCACACCCCTCCAGCGGGACTCACCTCCGACGTCATGACCGCGATCTGCTGGGGAGTGATGGCACCACACAGAACGTTCCGCCGCAGGTCGGGGTTCTTAGCGTCCTTGAGGTTGGAGATGCGGCTCCGCACACGGTTTTTGTACTTCATGTCTGTGTTTCCCACGTCCCGGAAGATGCGTGCAGGCATTTAAGGACCTGTCCAGAGCCTAGGGTGGCTGCCTTCCACCCACCCATGGGGCCAGCCAAGCGGGGCCAGCGAGGGGAAGGGGGCCCAGCAACGCAGTCTGCCCCCCGCGCCTGGCAGTGAGGGGAGAGGCTGCTGAGCGGGGGGCCCCCACTGGACCCACCCCTGGCTGAGGCTCAGCCGTGGCTACAAAGCCCTGGGGACCCATGCCCCGGTGGACTCAGTCCCTCAGCAGATCCAGGGAGGGCCCTGGCGTGGCCCCCAGGGAGCGAGTCCGGCTGTCCTTCTGACTCCACCAGAAAGCCCCGGATTCCAAATCCCCGCATAAAGGATATATTCCTCAATCTGGGCCGACAGGCCCTCGCAGTCCGCGCCAACAGCCATGTGGTCATCTGCAAGAGACAGCCCAGACTAGCGGCCCCCCGGGCTGCACCCCCTCCGCCAGCCACCCAGCCCCCGAGGCCCAGGATCCAGGTGCTCTGCTGGACCAAAAGGCCCCCTGCCCGCCCCCGCCCCCAACCTGGGCTCAGCTGCAATGAGCTAGGGGAGAAGGCTGTCCCCCGGCAGGCCTCGTGCAGGCTCCCGCGGGACCCTGGGCGCGCGTGGCAGGCGCTCACGGTCGGTCCGCAAGGCCGCGGCCAGCATCTCCCGGCACTTGCTGCGCACTGCGTCGCACGTGACCGGCGCCGGCGGGAACGTGGTGATCCTCGGTGCCGGCGGCATCCTGGGTAGCTCTGGCCTCTTGCGGCTGGAGAGACAGGCCCCCCAAGGCCGTGTGCACCCCAGGGACACACGGGCCCCAGAAAAGCCAACAGTACAGCCACAATCCCCGACCCTGTTCCTTCTTGCCTTGACAGCAGCCCGTGGTCCTGCCCCCCGGCACTCCAGCCCACCACGCCCCAGGGGTCTGCCCAGCGGGCCAGAGGCAGGAAAGCCCAGCGGGTGGGGCCTCCCAGATAGGGAGAGCGGGTCCCTGCCCTCCGGGAGGCCAGACCACAGGGCCGCACCCCTCAAGACCAGCTGCCAATCCACGGAGAGGCGGATGGTGTCGGTGGCCGCCCAGACCACAGGTGGCCCCATCCAGCACAGATGCCCCTGGATGGGCTGGGCACTCCCCACAAGCTGACGACGAAGCTGCATCCACCCAGCCCTCCCCCTCACACCCCTGCATCTCGTGAGCCCCACAAGTCAGGGGGAGCAGGGGCCTCCTGGAGGGAACAGGTGCCTACTGGCGGATGAGCCCACAGCCCTGCACAGCTACGAGGAGTCTAGAGATCAGCCTTGGCTGGTCTCCTGCCACTTCTGCCCCGTGGGGTCAAAGGCAAAGCAGCCTATGGGCCATAGCCCGTCCCCATGAGGAACCCCGGTCTCCATGACTGCCCTCCCTGGGGCCGCAGCATCGAGGCCTCAGAGCCCCCAGAACTCGCATCCTGCCGCAGCCTGGGGCACCCAAGGGGGAAAGGGGTTCAGCAGCAGTGTGACTCCAGCTAAGGGGGCTGCTCAGCCAGAGCTGGCCAGTGAGAAGCAGACCCCAGGACATGGATGTGGAGCTGGGGGACAGCTGCAGAGGGTGGACACAGCCTCACCCTGCAGATGGTTGGGGCTGGAAAGACACAGGGTCCGGAGGAGCTCTGGAAGAAAAGGGAGCAGCAAGAGGCCCCCCAGGCCAGGCACGGCCCCCCCAGGGAAAGTACTCTCCGAGAAGTGTTCATTTCAATGGTCTCAGCAGCCCCAGGGCACAGGGAAACCTGCCCTTCCATCTGCTGAGCAGGAGGGACAGGGGTAGGGGGCAGGGGCAGGAGGGCAAGCAGCAGTCTTCCAGGTGCCCTACCTGGGATCCTTGGCCTCGGGGGCCTCCTTCGAGGACGATGTGGGGAGAGGCCCACCCCTCCTCTGCTCCCTGGCTTTGGCATCGGAGGCGTCTGCAAGTGCCAGGAAACGGGGAGGCTGGCTCGGGGGATGCAGAACAGGAAGGCAGGGCCAGGCCAGGGAGGGGAGCAGATCGCCACCATGGCACAGCCTTGGTCAAATCACCAGCCCTAGCACCCCCACCCTAAACCCACCTGGGACCCTAGCTGTTGAGACTTCTGCACCTGAGGCCTTCTGTCCTCCCTCCTCAGAAGGTCCCAAAGACAGCCCCCACACGCCTTTCCTACCCCCTCAAACACACTGCCTGTGAGGCCTCTCTGGGGTCTGCCATCCCAGCAGACAGCACAGCCATCTGCCCGAAGTGACCCATGAGTCCAGATTCCCCTGCCTGACAGCCCCCACAGATGGAGTGTTTGAACTTGGAAAAAGACCAGGCATGGTCACTCCCCCACTGGGCCTCGGGGGTCACGGTGAACCGCCGTTCACTGAGCACATCCCCCACAAGGCTCCTGAAGCCCGAGCCAATGCTGGAGGACCTTCCCAGAAGACAAGGCACAGCCCCCCACCACCAGCAGAATAAACACACTTGTCCAACACGTAGGCCACCGGCCACTCAGGACTAAAGACAGACCCAGGACGTCAAGCTCTATTTCGCAAGGGTCTGGACCAAGCCCAGGAAAGGCTGGGAAGGGGTGGGGGCCCTCAGAGTCCCCAGGTGGGCATCTTACAACCCCAGCTGTCTCCCCTCCTCCTCTCCCCCACAACTCCTCTGGCCCCTGCCCTCTAGCTGTGCTGACCCCCTCTCTCTGTGTGACCTTCCAACTCACCCCAGGTCCCTCCAGGGCCCCTGGCCACCCTCAAGTGCACTCCTGCTACTACCTTCAGCATTCTTTTCTCCTTGCTCTCGCTGGATCCCCTGGTGTCCCAGCCCCAAGCCTTCCCGGACCAGTTCCAGAACACCCCACTCCCAGGTGGCCCTGGCTCAGGAACAGCACTGCCCGCACCCTACACAGTGCTGACCAGCAAGGGGCCCAGCTCCCGGCCCGTGCCGCCTGACCCGCACCGAGGAGCTTCTTCCAGGACTTGATCAGAGACTTGGCCAGCGCGATGACCTCCTCATCAGAGCTCTGCTTCCGCAGGGCGTTGACAGACATGCCAACCCGTGTAGACTGCAAAACAAGCAGCCTGGGCTGGGGGGCGGCAATCACACCCTCCTCACAGACCCTGCAAGGCTCCCACGGGGCAGGGAACGGGGACCAGCTTGTGCAACGGATACCCTTTCTGAGGGCTTCTGTCCCATGAGGAGCCCAGGAGCATCAGCGAGAAACAAGGTGGGTTATCCTTAGGTGCCCCCTTTGTCTTCCTGAGCAACAAACAGAGGCACGGACGGTGTCCTCCAGGACAGACGTTTGTACCAACCAAGGCCCCGAGGCAGGGGCCAGGAAGCCCTGCCAGGTACCCGGGAGCTGTCCCAGGCAGGAGGCGCCCAGCCCTACCTGCAGCAGGCTCAGCGTGACAGGCATGGCTTTCAGCTCCCGCAGCAGGTCCACGGCTCCCTCCTGGAAGGAGAAGGGGGACCTTCATAAATGACTTCGAGGTTTCTGTGGCCAGTGCCCCTGCCTCCTATAAAAGAAGGTGGGGGGGGGCACAAGGAGCAACAATCTGGAGATCCACCTGGGGTCAGATGCCCAGAGAGGGCCAGAATGAGACGGAAAGCAGCTTGGCAAACTCAGCCCCAGGATTTTGGGTCACTGACCAAGCGACGGCTGCAGGAAACAGCTCCAAGGACCGCAGCCCCTCCCCAGCAGGAGGGTCGCATCCAGGGGAAGGTGTGGCCCCAAGGGTGCTCACTGCCCCATCCAGTCTCCCGTCCCTTGTGGTGGGCTGGGCAGCTTCTCCCTGAAGCGGATCACCCACCAGCTGAGAGGGGTCAACCCAGCAAGGTCAGTGTCCCCTACAGAGGCCAAGCACTACTGCCATCACACCCACACCCGGATTCATGTCCCATGGCCCCACCCTTCATCAATCCCTCCAGGCCTTGCCTTAACCCTCAGGCCAGCCACCTTCCCCTCCTTGCCCCCTCCCACCCCACATCTTTTTCCTCAAAGCCCTCCCCCACACCAAGGCCATGCACAAATGGGCTGCTCTCTCCATTCCAGGCTCAGCTTAAGGCTCCTCAAGTGTGCCAAGTTGCTCACCCCAGGACCTTTGCACCTGCTGCCCCCACTACCAGAAACACCTCCCAAATATCTACAAATTTGCACCCTCCTTCTTTCAAAGTTTATTCAAAGGACACCTTCTTGGCAAAGCCCCTTCTACTTCAATCTGTGGCCACACCCCACGTGACATCTCTAGCCTCCTCCCTTCTTGCCTTCTTCAGAGAGGCTTCACTTCATAACACACGTGTTTTCGTGTGTGGGTCTTTCCCTTGACATGAAGGAGGCAGAAATAACCTGACCCAGCCACCCAAGGTTGTGAGACCCTCACATCTTGCAGCCCAGGCCATGGGAAGGGCTGGCCCTACCCCATCCCCCAATCTGGGTGACATCTATGCTCTAACCCCGCCCCCCACATCACCCCCAGCAGGCTCTGCCCCTCAGGCTGCGCAGAGTCCAGCCCTGAAGTGACCTCCTCAGAGAAAAAAAGATGGTCATCAGAGCCAAAAACAGGGCTGCTCACTGATCAGTTTTCTGGGGGCTCCAGACCACTGGCAGAAACACCATTCCTGACTTCCCAGTCATGGGTCCCAGATCCCCAAAGAGCCTCCCAGGCACTGGAACTTTTGGTAGCTCTCTCTCTGCACACACCACAGCACCCTCAAACCCCAGGCGCCTTCCCGGCCCAGAGGGTGCTCAGCTCCCCCTCCTCGTGCTCCTTGCTTCTGCCTGGACACACCCTCCCCCAGCGCCACCTGCCCCCGCCCAGCCCTGCATGGACCCATCTCTGACCCCACCTGGGGGCTGTTCTTTGTCTCCTTCAAGAGAAGCAGCAGCTTCTTTCTCTGGTCACCTCTGGAAACGGCTCTAGGTTGCTCCCCGACCCTTGCTCTGTGCTGCCCACGGCCTCCCAGGGGCATGAACGCAGAGTGTGTGTGTGTGTGTGTGTGTGTGTGTGTGTGTGTGTGTCTATAGGGGGCTGCCGTTTGCTGAACGAATGAGGGGAGCCAGACCCCTTTTAGGTCCCAGTGTCAAACCCTGTCCAGAACCTGGTCAACAGGGATCCAGGAAAAGCCTGCTTAACCCAAAAAACCACTCAGAGCCCAGAGCAAGCAGACAGTCCTGGAGGGGCCGCCCAGCATCTCAAGCCCATGATGGAGCCCCTCCACCACCCTAACCAGGTGCTCACAGTCCTGGGGGGAGAAGGCTGTGTTTACAGAGCCTCTCAGGGAGCCGGCCAGGACCCCTCCCGACATCCCAAAGGCAGGTACCACCCACCAAGGATGCGTCCATGGGAGGCCAGGTAGGTTGTCAGAATCTCAAAGCTGAAAAGGGGCTGACGTTGGAACCCCATCTGCCTGGTTCCTCTTAGAGACCACAGCACAGCCTCCTCCAAAGACTCACTGGCCAAGGACAACAGATGCCAGGCAGCACAGTGGGCACAGCTGGCCAGCGGCTCTCTCACCAAGGCACTCCCAGGACAGGCTCACCCACCTCCCAGGGCTCTATCCCAAGGGTCTCTCTACATAACTACCCATTCCCCAGTTGCTGCTGGCTGAGTCCTGGCTAGGAAGGGAAAGAATTTATTAGGGAAACCTGGTTCTTGTAGGCCGGGGACAGATACAGGGTAAAAAGGGGGCCGCTCCACCAAGAAAGGCCCTGGCCTGCTTGTGAAGGGGGACGCTGAGGGCTACAACCCCAGGCAGAACGGAGGTAAGGGACACGCAGCAGCTGGGGTGGGGGGCGAGGAAGGGAGGCGGGCAGGGGCGTCCAGTCTTACACTCCGAACTCCTGCAGTCTAAGAAAGGATGTGGGAGGCCTAGGGCGGGACAGAAGGCTCTGAGTCGGGGTCGGGGCTCCGCGGAGAGTCCTGGGGGCGGGGGTGGGATGAGCTGCGAGGATGCCCAGGCTGAGAAGGAAGGAGGCACGGGGGGGCGGGGCAGCCAGGACGAAAGGTCTGCACAGGCTGGGGCGACGGCAAGGCCTGGAGGGCGGCACCCAGGAATGCTTCCGCTGGCCGGCTCCGGCAGGGCTGGGGGCGGGGGGCAGTCTGGAGTTAGGGGTCAAGGAGGGAGACGGATCTCAGGTCTGCAGGCTCTCGGCCTGGTAGCTGGGGTCTGAGTCCAGAGAGCGCGGCTCCCGGGACCGGGTCCAGGCCCAACTGCGGCCTCTGCCGTGGGTGCGGGAGTGAAGGGCAGGGCTGGCCCAGGGCAGGGGTCTCGGCCACCGACGGGGGTCTCCCCACGTCCCGGGAGTCTCTGCTGGGGCGGGGTCTCGTCCTGCCCCTCGGGTGGTCTCCCCGACCCTGAAGGGGGCTCGGCAGGCTCGGCGGGGGTCGGCGGGGCGGGGGTCCCGGGGTCCTGGCGGCCCGCGCCCCTCACCGCACTCTTCTTGGTCACCATCTTGTCCAGCCTCCGGGCGATCCGCGCAATCTCCTCTTCCTTGCCCATCATCGCCTCGGGGGCAGGGCCCCCAGCGCCCGCCGCGCCAGCCTCAGCCTCCGGGCCTGGACCCCTGCCCCGGCCGTCGCCGTCGCCCGCACCCGTCGCAGCCGACGCAGCCCTACAGCGGTCGGGAGACCCTCCGTTCAAACCCCCGGCCCCCGCGGTCGCCGCGCTGCATCGTGGGACATGGAGTTCCCGTGGCCTCCCGCCTCGCGCGCGCTCGCTCCGCGCTGGACCACAACTCCCAGAAGACACGCGGAGTCGCAGGGCTTCCTGGGGAGTGTAGTCCTGACGCGGGCGGCCGCCGGAGACCGACGGGGCCGCAAGACTCGCAGTCCCACAAGCGCCCGCGCGAGCCCGTGAGCCGGCTGGGGGCGCTGAGGTAGCACCGAGGCCGAAGGAGCGTGCCGGGCGGGCGCGATCCCGGGTTTGTGCGTCCCCGACCCCCCCACCTCCTCGTTCCGACCCCCCCACCTCCTCGTTCCGACCCCGGAGCGGCCGGCGGTCCGACTGCGTAGGACCCGCCTGCCCCCACCCGCTTGGCGCCCTCTTCCACCTTCTGCTTCCGCGGGACCCTGCGGAGAGCTCCCGACCCCCACGCCGCGCCCCGAGGCCGCGCGGACCCCCTGCACGCTCTGGCCTGGATTCTGGTCTCTGAGCGCTGGTGCGTGGCGCCCGCAGGTGGGAGGGGGCAGTAGCCGGATGCGGGGTCCGAGGGAGCCGGGGGACTCGGAGAGGTCGTGAGAGCAAGTCCCGGGCCTCCTCCGGCGTCCGCTCCGGCGCGAATCCTGGGGTCCGCGCTTCAGACAGTTCCTTGACCCCTCGGTGCCTCAGTGTCCGCGTCCGTGAAATGTCTGCCTCACGGCGCTGCTCAGATGCGGTCAGTTGATAAACACCACGCTCTGAGAACAGGTCAGGGGACACCGCACGGGCAATCAGTGGTCACCTTTGCTGGGGCGGTCCCTGGGAATGGCCAGCCTGCACCTAGCTGGAGGGCCGGCCGCTGCAGATAGAGGCCTGTGGGGGCAGCAGAAGGGGCAGATCCAGCATCCCCTGCGGATATCTGCGGCGCACTCAGTGACACCATGCTGGGCGGTTTGCTGGACAGGGCACAACTCTGGGGGAGGGTAAAAGTCAGGGAACTGACCAGTCGGCTGACCAGGCCTTGGACTGTCGGTGGTGTTAATTCGGTTATGACTGAGCTTCCCAGCAGCCAGAGTGAAAAGGAAAACATGGTTACTTATGAGATTCCTTAGTAATCATAAGGGAAAAGCATGGAATTCCGTAGAGGGAGCAAAGGTTTTCCAGGACAGAGGCCTCGTGATGGTAAACACATCACCTCGTTTCCAGATCAGCTCTGGTTCTGCCTTTCACTGTGCTCCGGTGCCATAGCTCTGACCCTCCCAACCAAGCAAGTCCTTAGGGCCAGAATCCCATGGTCTGAACATGTGTGCAGCCTCTGAGGGTCTGGCCACACCAGGGACACAGGGAAGCTGGAGCTATACACCCTCCAGCTCTGCTCTGCACAAGCAGTGACTGGTGAGAACGGGGAGCTCGCTGGGTTCCTGCACAACAGACACCAACAAGAACCCCAGAGAACACCACCTCAGAAATTCACCCTGGCCCCCATCGCCCACAGGGACGTGTCCATGGAGGCTCCCCAGCCAGGCCTCTGAGACAGACAGGGATGAGCTGATTCAGGGGATTTCTTAGAGCAAACCCCCGGTCGTGCTGAAGACCTCCAGCCACCACAACCCAGCACCCTGGATGCTGAGCTCAGCCATGGCTTGTGACAAAGCCTGGACCACAGGGGAGGGAGGGCAGAAAGACCACTCGGCCTCTACCCTCCCGAGCAGGCAGGTGTATGTCCAAGAGCACTCAATACAGCTCAAGGTCCCTCAAACTGGAGTCCGAGAGATCAGCACGGGCCTCTCAGAAGCATCACCTGGTTCTCAAGAGGGTTCGTGCCAGACACTGGACCTTGGCCAGGGCATCCGTTGAGGCGGGGTCTGGCCATCAGCACAGCCCCCTTGGGCAGGTCACTGTCAAGGCCCAGCCTCAAGGTCAGTCCCCACCTGATCTCCACTGGACAGATGAGCCCCAGGTGCTGGGAGGAGAGCAGGCAGGTAGACAGCCTGGGAAACCAGTGCGGGGCTTCACCCTTGACCCTGCCTGGGAGCACCTGCTGGTGACCAACGGTCCCACTGTCTGTGCAAGGGACTTAGTGTAAGGAACGCCTCTCTGTGGGGCTGGTTGAATGGTTTAAGACACAAAGATGTGACTAAAGCATGACCAAGGGAGGTGGTTAAAAATGAAGACTCTGAAGGACGCCCGGGCGGCTCAGTCGGCGAAGCATCTGCCTTCGGCTCTGGTCACGATCCCAGGCTCCTGGGATCGAGTCCCTCGTTAGGCTCCCTGCTCAGCAGGAAGCCTGCTTCTCCCTCTGCTTGGTTCTCCCTGGCTTGTGTTCCCTCCCTCCCTGTGTCTCTCTCTGTCAAATAAATAAGTAAAATACATATTTTTTAAAGTGCTCGGGTTTCTATATCACACTTTTTTTTTTAAGATTTTATTTTTATTTATTTGACAGAGATCACAAGTAGGCAGAGCAGCAGGAAGAGAGAGAGGAAGGGAAGCAGGCTCCCCACCGAGCAGAGAGTCTGACTCGGGGCTCGATCCCAGGACGCTGGGATCAGGGCCTGAGCCGAAAGCAGAAGCTTTAACCCACTGAGCCACCCAGGCGCCCCTATATCACACTTTTTTTTAGTTTTGTTTTCTATATCGAACACTTTAGGAAATATTTAAATACCTGTGTTTCACTGTAACTGGTTTCCCTTGTAACCCTACAACCTTTACTTCCTGCACTGCCCCATTACGTGGCCCCAAAGTGAGGACGTGGGGGAGAGGGAGAACTGTCACCAAAGGACTAGAGCCCTTCCCCCACAACACCAGAATGGAGATCCTGGCCTGACTGCCTAGGACCCTTTCTCCTCCAGGAGAAACCAGATGGTGTCCACCTCCAGGGCCTCCAGCGACAGACCTCCTGAGGAGCCCGGCATGTCCCCTCCATGGATCTCCACTGAGATTGGAGACAAATGGAGACCGAGACACTGGGGCCTCGGCAGGGTGATGGCCAGGAGGTGGGGACGCCCTGCAAGACGCAGGCCCACAGAGGGCTGGGCTGGGGGCTGCTAGGGGGTGTCCCAGGAGCCTGGCCCCAGGCAGGGCAGGTGACGGGAAAGAGGGAGTTGACAGAACAGATCGGGGATACAGGGCAGAGGAGGCAGGGTACTTCCAAGCTGGAGAGCTGGGGGCCACAGCTGTTCCCCTGAGACAGGAGCCCTGAAACCTGGCAGGTCAACCCTGTGTGGAGGGGGTAGGGCCCCAGGCAGCGTGAATGGGAAGCCCCGGGTTCGGGTAGGATGACCCAGGGGCATGGCCTGTGTCCCATGATGAGCAGTGGCCTCTAGGTGGCGGGCGGGAGCCACAGACCAGCTGGCCAGCCCGGTGTCCACCACCCTCCCCCTAGGGAGGTGCAGTCCATTCTGGCCACAACTGTGAAGCAGACCCAGTAGGACAGAGAGGCCCTCGTGGGTGGGGGCTTTGGGGGCTCCCACCCTCACCAGGGCTAAAGCTGGGTCAGCACCCACCAACCCCAAAACTCAGTATTCCACTGTCAAGGTCCTGGTCTGGGGGCCCTCGTGAGTCCATGACCCTGGGAACCTTGCTCAGGACGTCTGCAGCCTGCCCCAGGCCCCTCATGAACCCCACCTAACCTTGGGAACTTCCTCCTCCAAGAAGCTGCCTGACCAGCTGATACCCTCTGAAATCCGCGCCCAAACGGCGGCATCAGAACCATGGGCTTCTCCCCGAGGCGATTTATGCAAACCCGCTGTACCCCACTTGGGCCCTCTGCAGGGCTCCGGCCTTCCAGACCCTACCCCGACCCCTCTGCCAACGAAGAACTTCATTTCCTTTCTGACCCCCACATGCAACCGCAGTCCCAGGGGAGACAAAGTTGCTCACAGGCGCACACAACAGCCATGCCTGGGGTCCTCACACTTGGACACTCAGAACCACCTTGGACTGCCCCCCAGGTGTCTGTCTCCCAAGGACTGCTCTGCTGGGAAAACAAGGCTTCCCATCCACCCCCTGCCACGTTCTCAGCCCGGGACACCTAAGAGTTGCTCAGTAAGTATGTGTCTCATGAAGGGAGGAGAAAACAATAGCAGGCAGGGGCGGGCAGGAAGGGACACACATTTACCAGCTACCACCCAACAAGGGAGCCCCAAAGACAGGCCCCACCCCCACGCCCAGGGAGGCCAACTCAGAACTGACCTCCCTGTTGCTCTGGGCTGAAGGCCTGATAGACAGACCCTCCCAGAAACAGATGGGGCCCTCCGCCGAGGACCCGCAGCCTCTCCTGCTGAGATGGGTGGCAGAGGAAGGGGTGGGTGGGGGACAGAGAGCTGAGAGCCAGGTGGCCCTGACAAGGCAACGGGGAGTCAAGGCAGGGCCTTGCCACCAGCTTGGGAGACTGAGCCGTGAAAATGTAGATGTGTGGGCGGAGATCCAGGGGCTCCTGATTGGAGGTCAGAGGTGAAGAGAGGTCGGCAAGGAGCAGAGAAGGAGCCCCCGGGGGATGGAAGACCCACCCCCTGCCTTACTCCAGAGTGCTCTACGGAACACTCCACAGGCCCACCACCAGGCGCCCTCCCTCAGTGCCCACGATGGTCCCATGGGGCAGCCCCTAGAGGAGAGAAGTACACGGACCTGCCCTCAGGAGCCTCCTCTGTGGGAAGCCGGGCCCTGTCCTGGGGCCTCTGAGGGAGAGACACCCTTGACAGCGGCCTGGGGACACCCCAGCGACACCGCCAAGGTCCAGGACCCATAGGCTGGACCACACCTTTGGCCCAGAGGCTTGCCCCTCCCCCATCCTCAGTCCGGAAACATCGGAAGCTCAGGCCATTTATTTTTCTATTTGTGTCCCCCACCCCCTGCCTGCCCCAAACCGGCCATGACCCAAGCCAGTCGCATCCGCGCTTCCCTTCTGGCTGAGGCAGGGGCCTCGGTGGGAAGGCCCAAGCTGCTGCGCTCACACAGAGCCCCACCTCGCTTCCCGCAGCCCCAGAAGCCCCCACCCACCCCGTGCTACCTTTAGGCAGCTCTCCCCCGGGCCTGGGCACCCA